TGAATGACACTGCCTCTCACACACAAATACAAACACACACACAGGGCCGTGATTGACACTGCCTCACACACACACACAGGATCAGCACGATTTAAGCGACTTCACCCGCAGAGGAGACTGAAGAGAGACCAGCGAGGTGCGGGTAGGACCCTAACAATGATCCCAGCGCTGCCAAAACACGGGAGCCCCACCGAACCGAGCCGGTCCCGAGAGAGAGAGAGGGAGGTCCTTACCCGTGCTGACCAGGGACAGCAAGGCGAGCGCCGCGAACACAGCGCAGTACACTCCCGAGACTGGCATTGTTCCCAGCGATCTGCGCCTTTCCTCCTGGCCAAAACCACGGGCTGGTGTTTTCTTCGAAAAAAAATAAAAATAAAATGACAATGAAGGCATCAGTCCCCCGAAAAACACGCCGGTACGCCTTTCGATCCAGCCTCCCGTGGACAAGACAGGCTCTCGCTTACATCACAGGAATCACACTCATAGTAATTAACAAAGGTTGGATCGCGCAGCAGAGCAAAATGGGTTTTTTTCCGTCACACGCACTGGCCCGGCCAGTTCCACCTTGATACTTCACATGTTAATGAACTCTCGGGGGGGGGGGGGGGGGCGGCCCGCCGTCAGCCAATAGGTGCCCGTTCCGACAGCGGGGGGCGGGGATGTTGTTGGGTTAGGGGCGGGGCGACCGCACGGAGTGGACGGGGGGGGGTCGAGGGGGGCGTATTTAAAGGGCCAGCGTCATAAAACCCTCACCGCTCTTGAAGAGGCTGACGCGAACGCTTACAGACACGAGTTGTGCTTGTGCCGCTGTAATAACAGAAATCTGAGCACGACAGCGCGATCCCAGGTCTCCCGGGCTGTGGCGGAGACCGCGCTCGCCTATTCTGAAATAAAAACAGATTGTTTTGTTTTATCTTAAGATCCGATGCGATCCGAACTACAGTGTCTGATCCCCCTAATTTAATTAGCCATTACCTTAATTAATGTTTCTTTTCAGATTTAATTTTCTGGTTCTGCTCTAACGGTTCTGATAAAGATGTATTAGGAAGCTGAAAGCTGAGACCGAGGAGGCCAATTAATTAGATATAATTCTCTCAATTAGTGGGGTCAATTACGGAGGTGAAAAGAGCAGTGAAGGGGACAGGGGGTGAGGGAGCAGGACGTTGGGGTGCCCTCTCTGCAACTGGGCGCTAAAATCTGGGGATCACTCCAGGAAGATACTGCAAGGGATCAGCTCTGAGGTCATGCGGTGTTCCTGGCCGGAGTCCCCAGTGGGAATTAGGAGCTGGAGGCACCTCTGTGCACAGAGAGTGGCGGGTGCAGGGGTATGAGAGCCGATGATACGCACAGCTCCTGCAGCCTTCCCACTCATGTCTGTGGGAGGACCAAAGAGTGGGCAAATTGTGTTTCCGTCTTTGAACGTGGTTCTGAAGATGGGAAAGTAAAAGACATTTCATTAGACCCAATAACAGAATTCTCAAGAGGGCACTGAACAGAGGGAACGAGAGCACAGGGGGGAGAGAGAGAGACAGAGGGAGGGGGGAGAGAGGGGAGAGAGGAGAGAGAGGAGAGAGGGGGACAGAGGGAGGGGGGAGAGAGGGAGGGAGGAAGAGGGGAGAGAGAGGGGAGACAGGGGAGAGAGGGAGGGAGGGAAGGAGAGGGGAGAGAGAGAGGAGACAGGGGAGAGAGGGGGACAGAGGGAGGGGGGAGAGAGGGAGACACAGAGAAGGGAGCAGGTGTGATAAGCCAGCTTTATTGAGGTTTGTGTCTCCTCTCCCCTCTCTCCCTGACAGATGGCTGCAGTGTCCTGCTCAGTGTGGCCCCTGCTGTCTCCCCCAGGGCACTGAGCTGTGGCTGAGCTGAGCTCTGGGGAACTGGGCTTGAGGGTAATGAGGGATCAGCACAGTCTGCTACACTGACTTTCTCCTCTCTCTCTCCTCTCCCCTCTCTCCTCTCTTCTCTCTCCTCTCACCTCCCTCTCTCTCCTCTTCTCTCTCCTCTCTCCTCCCTCTCTCTCATCTCTCCTCTCTCTCTCCTCTCCCCTCTCTCTGTCTCTCCATCTCCTCCTGATCTGTTATGGGGTGCCTTTGGCTTTTTGCTTTTTTAAATTTATTTAATTGTTGTTTCCTCTTCATCTATTTTTTAAAATAAATCTGGGAGACAAAAGATAATTGGAGTCCGCTGCTGTTTCGCTCGCTTCTCTATATAAATTTTATAAGCTCATTCTGACCGACGATGATAACGGGAAATTCAGGTTAGCAGCTGCGATTTAAACCCGTCTGTGGCGACACCTAGTGGTCGAGAATAAAATGACAGTCGTTTTCTCTTCAATTGAGAGTAAACTATCTTCTCAGCACTCAGACTTCAGTTTCTAATGTAAGTCCTGTCATAGCTTAATTAGTGCTTATAGTTATTTTCAGTCGCAAACAATTGCAGTTTTTATGTTACAAACTAAATTTTGTAGTTAATGCCCAAAGACATATGTCCTGTCTTATCTCCTGAACATAAAAGATCAGAGGAGCTGAGTCTCTTCAGTCTTGCACAGACTCGAACCCAGGGCCCCACTGCTGTGAGGCAGCAACGCTAGTCCAGGTCTAACCCTGATGGCAGTGAATTCATTCCGTGCCAGGACAGTCTTTCACTCTGGCTGTTGTTCCAACTTCCTGGATGTCCAGTTTGTTTCATCTGGGTTTGTTCTGCATTATCATTTCTGCGGCGTTAATAATATTAACAAAATAAATAATTAAACAAGCCGACAGCTTAACGATGGCGCTGTTTACGGGGCGTGGAGCCGCAGGAAATCATTAAGACAGCGAGAGTGTCCAACACGCCGAGCGGCCCGGGCAATTTAATTATACAGTATAGACAGCGCTGCGCACACACACCCGCGCCGTGAATATATCTCCTTGATTGCCTCTTTCCAAAATCGGCTCTGGGAATTACCGGTGTGTCCGACCCAGGGAGGAGTGTGAAGGGAATATTAATGAGGAGATATCAGAGAGGGAGAGCGGAGAAGAGTGATAGAGGGGTGAATTTGGGGGCAGGGTGAGAGGAGAGGGACAGCAGTTTCCACAAAAACGACAGACCAATTTTTTATTTCACCTTTTTAATTCACAAAGCACAATGACACAAGAGAGCCTTGTCTCCCTGGAAAAGGATTGAAAAAGTGCATCAGTATTTCCGAGACAAAACTCCGCCGACAGATAACACACTAAAGAAGGATTCTCTTGCCAGATAAAAGCATATTTTTAACGATATGTGTGATTGTCTCTTTTCCTTTGATAAAATATTCTCTGGCAGAAACAGCCTTTCTTCTCCTTCTCATCGCAGATTTGGCATTTCATTTGCATATAAAATGTGAAGAAAAAAAAAGCAATCAAACCCAGTGCCTGTAGAATAAACCCTGACGATTGTGACAGCAGTAGCAGACGGTAAAAGATCAGTGCAACAGCTCCAGATCACACCCCTCCATGTTGTGTGTCAGGGTGCAGTCACCCCTGGCACCTCTTCCACTTCTGTAGTCTGGTACACGGTTCGAGTCGAGAGGCTGGGCCTCTGGCCCGTGCTTAGTCCTAGATCTGGGGTGTCCAGCCCAGCCCCGGGGGAGCCCCTCATCCTAATCTCACTGCTCTTCAAGCAGGTGACTTTATTAAATTTAGCAAGAGATCGTTTCGAGCATGAATCTAAAAAAAAAAAAAAAACTATAAATCACTCACTTAAATCGATCAGTAACTTCTAATTCTCTCCTAATCTTTAGAGTAGAGGGGATTTCAGGAGGACCAGTAAGAGCCCCATGCTAGACCTCCCCTGCAGGCTCGATTCCCTCCTAGATGGCGGACAGTCGCTCCAGGCCAGCGTCCAACCCGACCCCTCCCTCAAGTCGGCCGTTCGAGAGCGAGTCTCAACAGCTGGCCTGGTTCTAGACCCCCCACTGCCGCCTAAGATCTCGACCCGCCACTCTAGAACAGCCCCGCGGCCCTGACTGTGCAGAAGAGGAGAGTCCAGTCAACACCCTGCATGAAACCCGAAGATAATCACATATTTCAAGAGCGAAAGGAAAGAGCCTCAATCTCATCTCTTTTTAACGGCGATGAGCCCCCCCAGGACTGCCCCCCCCCCCAGCTGGAAGACAGGCGTCCTGAAGACCGAGGTCCTGCAGAAGAACGAGGAAACACAGATGAGTGCCGTCTGTCCCACAGTCCAAGTGTCCATTACCCCACCCCCTCTCCCTCCTCCCCCTCTCACCGGTCAGACCAGGGGCTGGGTGTCTCCCACAGTGGAGGGCAGGGACTCCACACTGCTCCTGTAGATGGGCTTCTTCTGGGAGTGATCGTCACTGAGAGAGAGAGAGAGAGGACAGTGAGACAGACAAGCTGGGGACAGAGAGACACAGACAGGGGACCCTGCCTGTCTCTCCGCCATGTTCTCTGAAGTGCTGTGTTGATTGTGTCTGCTTTAGCAAGACAAATTCAGCAGGTCAGTGAAGCGCCGTGAATTGGAACTTCTAGAGACAGGAGCACAGAGAGAGAGAGACGACACAGCGAGAGAGACAGAGAGACAGAGACGGGCACACAGTGAGACAGAGAGACAGAGACACGGGTACACGGTCACCTACATGGGCCCCTTGCTGGCCCTGTGCTTGCTGCGCCGGTACAGACAGACGGACAGGCCCAGCGCCAGGAGCAGCAGCCCGGCCGCCGGCACTGATGTCATCAGCACGAGACGGCCCTGCGCGGACTGGAGCCAGGGGAGCTCTTCCTCTGCGTGACCCCAAAAACCACATCCATCAGAACCCCCATGACACACAGAGACCCCCCACCCCCCAAGACCGCCCCCTCAGCCCCTCCCACCAACCTGTGCCACACCCTGCAGCCCCCCCCGCCTCGTCTGTAAAGACCCCCCATCCGTGAGGATCACAGGGCCGGATTCCGGAGAACTGCACGGATTTGGAACAGCCTGAGGCTTCTTCGGCCCCATCGCTTAACGAGCTCACAAATCAATTAGTGACTAATTTCCCCTTGAGACAAGGGCCCTGGGGCGTGGTCACCCTGCTCCCCCACCCCCTGTCCCCCCAGCAGCGTCCCCACCTGGCACCACCAAGATCTGCAGGGAGCGTCTCTTGACCAGAGAGGAGACGGAGGGGTGTTGTGCCGTACAGGTGTACGTCCCAGAGTCCTCCTCTCGAACCCTGCGCAGCTTCAGCTTGCTGGACAGCTCCATCCAGTCATCGCCCTGCAAGCAGAGGAGAGGAGTTGGGGGGGATTGGCAAGACTGAGCCACCGCCACCCCCCTTATTTGCAGCACAGTGGAACAGTCCCTTATTCCCCACCCCCTCATAATGGTCCAGTCTGTGTCAGCATCTACAACAGGCCCTACAGGCCTGGAACAGCACTGCTGCGTTTCGGGTTTGAACATGCTGCAGTGGGCCTCTGCCTGCTCCTGCAGCTCTCAGTCACCCACTAGAGGGCAGCATTGCACGGCGGCGCAGGGCTCACTGCTGAGGGAGACCCGACCCAAGCAGCACAATAAGGCCTTTATTTCGAGGGAGACATTTCAGGGGAAGAAGAAAAGCTTTGAATGCGATTTCCGTGCGAGAAGAGAGTCAGAAGCAGGGAGGAGCTCTGCATGAGGGAGGCTGGGATTCACCAGACAGAGAGACAGCTGTAGTGTAAGTGGTACGGAGAGAGAGAGAGAGAGAGACAGGCAGGCAAGGAGAGGCTCCAGTCTCACCTCTTTGCTCCAGGAGAACTGCGGCGTCTCAGAGGCCGAGGTCGAGCACTCGACCTCCACATCGCCCCCTACAGCCACGCGCAGCTCCTGCAGCTGGCCAGAGAAGCGGCTGTAGAAGCTGCTGTCCCTGTAGATGGACAGTTCCCTCATGTCTGTGTGGGGGGAGACAGGGCAGAGGCAGGTCATGAGGCAGAGAGCTCACTGCACGCACACACACGGACCCACTCCGGACCCACTCCGGACCCACTCCGGACCCACTCCGGACCCACTCCGGACCCACTCCGGACCCACTCACAGTGCACGGGGACGGACAGGCTGTTGGAGACGCTGGAGCTGTTGCTGGCGCTGGGCCCGGTGTCGTTGGCATGGGAACCGTCACGGGCGCAGCGGTAAGGGCCACTGGTCCAGCTCTGTACCGCGGGGATGTGGAGCTGCAGGCGGCCCTCAGTCCGGGTCACATTCACCTCGAAGAACCAGCACCGGAAGTGCCGGGCCTGGTCCAGGCGGTACCAGGAGCCCATGTACTGCAAGAGACCAGACACAGTGAGGCGGACGGGCAGTCGGGCGGTCAGAGAGACAGTGGGGTGGACGGGCAGTCAGGCGGTCAGAGAGACAGTGGGGTGGACGGGCAGTCAGGGAATCTGACAGATCAGCGGAAATGTTGTCCGAGCAGGTAGCACTGACCCGAGAGTATTTCTGGAAATACACTCCACTCATGTCCGACTCCGGGTCAGAGAGACATTCCAGACTGATAGACTGACCCTCCAGCACTGGGCCAGCTGGACCCTTCAAGACCAGAG